GCTGAAAGAACTCAAGGACATTTTTGCCTTTGAAGTCCAAGAGATGCAAAGCGTCAGCCGGGGTCTTGTTATCCACAAGCTCGTCGTGGATCCAAAAAAGAAGCCTGTTAGGCAAAAAAAAAGATGTCACGGCGAGGAGAGATCTCAGGTGGCTACCATCGAGGTCGCGAAGTTATTAGACGCCGGGTTAATTCGGTAATGGCACTTCCTAGACTGGGTTGCAAATGTTGTCCTTGTAAAGAAGCCGAATGATACCTGGCGCATATGTGTTGATTACACTGATCTGAACAAGGCATGTGTGAAGGACAGTTACCCGCTTTCAAAGATCGACAGTCTGGTCAATTCAACAGTCGGACATGCTTTGATGAGTTCTATGGATGCCTATTCCGGATTCCATCAAATACCCCTGTGGAAGAAAGATCAAGATTCGTCACTTATTAGGGGTTATTCAGCTATACGGTGATGCCGTTTGGCTTAAAGAATGCGACTATTACTTTCCAACATATGATTAATTCGGTCTTCAATAATCAGATTAGAAGGAATGTAGAGGCGTACATTGATGACATGATAGTCAAATCCAAGCTACAAATGGACCATCTAGCTGACCTCCGAGAAACCTTCACCACACTCAAGCGGCACAAGGTCATGCTCAATTCCAAAAAGTATGTCTTCAGTGTTGAGTCTGGGAAGTTTATCGGATTTTTTATTGATCAAAGGGGGATAGAGGCCAACCCAGAGAAGATACAGGCGGTTATTGACATGAAGTCTCCCCGCACTGTAAAGGAAGTTCAGAAATTAACCGGTTGTCTGGCGGCATTGGGGAGATTCCTCAACCGGTCAGGTGACAAGTGCCTCTATTTCATCCAAGCAATTAGTAGGAAGACTATGTTTGAATGGGGGGATGATGCTGAGGCGACCTTCCAACAATTGAAACAACACTTGCACTCCTTGCCAAGGCTAGTTAGCCCTCTTCCCAAGGAGACGCTTTACATGTATTTAGCCAAATCAGAACATGCCCTCAGTGCTTTTCCCCTTGCTGAGAAAGACAGCATCTAGCTCCCAGTCAATTTCATTAGCCTTTTTCATGGCAGTCAAGAAGTTGAAACCTTACTTCTTGGCACATCCGGTGGTGGTCTATATAGACCAACCCCTCAGGCGTTTGCCGACTTCATTGTTGAAATGACAAGACCAGTTGAACCAGAAAATCTTGATCATGTTTGGAAAGTGTATGTAGACGAGAGGTCTACCATGAACAGCTGTGGTGCAGGGATAATATGTCAGTCTCCTGAGGGGGACAAATATGAATATGCACTATGGTTCAAGTTCTAGGACTGAAACAATGAGGCTGAATATGAGGCCCTGCTAGCTGGTATACGCATGTGTAAGGCGGCAGGAGCAAGAAAAATTGATGCCTGCTCTGATTCTCAATTGGTTGTTAGCAAATACCATGGTGACTTTGAGGCCACCCATCCGGCTATGATCAAATACTTGCAGGCAGTCAGGATTGAAACTAGGACACTTGACGAATTCCACTTAAGTCAAGTGCCCAGGTCAAAGAACCATCAGGGGGATGCATTGTCAAAACTGGCATTGTCCGCCACCTGTGATACACCTTGGTCAGTCTTCTGGGAAGTGATGGAAAAACGAAGTATTAAAGAAGTCCCATTGGAGTTTTGGACCGAAACTCAACCAGGATGAATGGCATCCGGTCTCATTTGCTAGACGGCACTCTACCGGATACATATCCTGAAATGGCAGCAATGAAAAAGCATACGCCCAACTTTGAGATCCGTAAAACTTTTCAAGAAGAGCTTTCTGCAGCTTTTGTGGAAATGCATTACCCCGGAAAGGGGACGAGAGATTCTAGAAGACTTGCATTTGGGCTTATTTCCCTTACACATAGGCAGCAGGTCTATAGCAGAAAGGGCTAGGCGGCAAGGCATTTTGGCCCACTCTTGAGGTAGACGACATGGAAATGGTGATGAAGTGTGATAAGTGTCAAAGATTCAGCAAACTCATACACCGTCCGGCCATTGATCTGACGGCTATTCATAGCCTAGTACCATTCGCCAAATGGGGCTTGGATATATTGGGTCCGTATACGCCTGCGCCAGGCAGATGTTGGTATATTCTAGTTTTCGTTGACTAATTCACCATGTGGGTAGAAGTAGAGGAGGTCAAAAACATTAAGACAAAGGATGTCATCTCCTTCATCTGGAAGAACATCATCACCTGGTTTGCGGTACCTATGTCTATGGTTTTTGATAATGGCTCTCAATTTGAGACGCCTACCCTCAAGAATTGGCTGGGAGACCAAGGTATCTCCCACTGTTTTGCATCAGTCAGATGTCCCCAAGCGAACGGCTATGTTAAAGCCTTCAACAAGCTAATCTAAGACGGCATAAAAAGGAAGATTGAAAGGGCTGGCGGTCTATGGGCAGAAGAGTTAAGTCATGTCCTGTGGGCCATCAGAATAACAGCTAAAGGGGCAACTGGCAAAACCCTATTTCTTATGGTATACAGTGCTGAAGCCGTCTTACCCATTGAGCTTTATGAACCAACTCTTCGAATCATGTTGTATGATGAAGAGGCAAACTGGGAGCCCATGCCGCTTGCATTGGACTCACTTCCAGAATGCCGGGGCAATGCCACCTTATGCCATGAAATTTACCATTTGAGAATGACAAGAGCCTACAACTAACAAGAGAGTGCAAAAACGGCCCTTGAAAGTAGGGGACTTTGTGTTATGGAAAATAGAGGCAACCGGTAGGGCCAATGAGCAACGCAAGTTAACGCCCAATTGGGAAGGTCTGTACCGGATCTATGATGAAGTAAGAGGCGACACCTACCACCTCAAAACTCTAGACGGTAGGAACCTAGTCAGAACTTGGAATGTAGACATCTAAAGATGTACTACTTCTAAGACTTGTAAATTTTTTGTACATGAAAAGCCTATCAATGAAAAAATTGCTTTTTATTTTCAATTTTGATTATATATGCTTTACTAGATATGTCTCCCAATGGGAACACCACCTAAGCAATGTGCAGAGAGCCAAATTTAAAACAACCATCTGCTCTAACATGAGTACGACATCCGGCGACGCCCATCTGGGTGATTTCGTCGCAGAGTGCATTTCCCATTTGGGTGGTACATTGCTCTATAAACTCAAAAACAAACGGCCCAACCGACTTTCTAGATAAAGAAGCTCGTAGCTGTTTGACTTGAATAATCTAATATGAGACCTAGATAGCTAAGGTTTATCACCTGTTCTATAACAACCGGTAGCCAGCTAGTATTTCATTTGGATAAAAGAATTTATTTTGGTGCTTACACCATTAAGACACCTGTTATTGCTCAGAGGCAATACAAACGGCTAAATTTGAAAATATAAGCTATGTCCAAAACTTAGCAGCTAAACATTGCTCGTTTAAAACGACTTAATACGGCCAATGGTCGTCCGATACTGAACGTCTACCCGCCTGCCCCATTTGAGGTAGTGCTGATTCAAATAGATATTGAATGCTAAGTCCAGAACTTAGAATCTAAAGTAATTCGGCAAATGTCGATTGGAGGTGGACAATGACCGCCTGGTTTAAATATCCGGCTGCTTGATGAACGATTATTCGCTTGGTTTGGGGCAATCACCACAGTGATTGATTGACTTAGAAATTAATCACTCTTTCAGGTATAAAAAATTTCTAAGTCAAACAACCCACTTTTGTAACCAAGCGCACATCCGTCTAGGGGCAAATACTTCCGGTATACCGCTTGCATAAAATAAAAAAGGCTACGTACTTAGAAAAATTTATGCATAATAAAAATGCAAGGACAAAATTTTTTTATGTAGGAAAACTGGCCCAATGGCCGGCTATGTTATATTAAAATCCGACTCCATGGTCAGCCAAAAGAAAGTGTTAACCGATTTTACAATCGGTGAAGAAAAGAAAAATTGTTAATCAAACCCGAGTCCCAAGTCGGTAAAGATACATACATACTCGGTACGCAGGCCGGATTGTCAGGCCATTCAGCCAATGAAAGATTTAAGCTTGATCATCTAGACGAGAGGACTCTTCTACATTCCTATCCAACTTTTCACCAGCATCAGTCAGATGACCCCCATCATGCTCGAAGTCCTCATTCTCAACCATGTCTTCATCATCATCATCAACTTCACCCTTTTCCTCCGCCTGCAGCGCTCCTCGTCAAGCTCGTTAGTGCCTTGCTCAAAACGATACTCCCAACGCAGTAGTCGTCGTCAGGATGAAAAGCCATTTTCATCTGGATGACGCAATTGGCCTCATTCTCCTCGATCAGCTGCCTCTTTTCCTCCTCGGCCCTGGCCTAGTACTTCTTCCTCAGCTACTCTTCTTGGTTGGCGAGCTTTGTTTTCAGATGCTCGTTCTGGCGGCGGAGACTATCTGTATCCCTGCTGACATCCCCAAGCTTCTCAAGCTTGCCCTAGACTGACTTCAGCTGGCCCTCAAACCCTCTTATGCGCCGCCTCTAGCTGCTGCTTGACTTGCAGGTTGGCCTTCGCCTTAGAATGCAGGATATCATGAGTTAGTGCTTCATTTTTACATATGTCAAACATGGCTTGGTCTAGAGTAGTGGCGGCCCTTTCTTTGGCACTATTGTTTGACTGAGAACGGCTTCTTGAGCCCATTCACCCGCAGTATTGCCTACATCCGACAAAGAAGATCATCAATAAACAGATGGCACTAGAGGAGTTAAAAATATTTTCTAACTTAAAAACAAGTTACCTCAGCTAGCAAGGCCTAAATGGCATCAAAGTTGAGCGTGCCAACCCCCCTCACGGAATCCCGCTCATCGGGAGAGACGACCATCAGCATGTTCTTAGCGAACTGCTGTACATCCGGCCTCTGGGCAGCATCTACAAAATCAACACTTGGTGAGAAATTGACATAAGCCCGGCCTATAGACTAGATCTGTTCAAAGCTGTTTTGTAACTACTGATAAGACTTTACCCTACTATGGAAAGGTAATGGATTGAAGGCACTAATACCTGGGAGCTCAACTTCCATGTCTTTAGGACACCTGTCTTTGCGTCTGCCTAATGTATGTCCGCCTTTTGTTGCTGAGCCGTCAGCAGCAGTGAATGGCTTGCCACTCTTTGATGCCCGAGGGATGTCCGATTTTTTAAGTGCTTCGAGAAAAGCAAGCGAATTGCCGGCAGTAGAGGGATGAGAATCATCCCAGACTTGGCAGCAGGAGGATTTTTCTACTCCACAAATTTCCTAGATTCAGAAGGCGTCCGGTCCTCTTCAGCAGACAGACGCTTCAGTCGCTTATCGCCAAAAGCAAGCGTCCTCATTGATCCTTCCTGAAAATACCGAAGTTAAGTCATCAAGTTCAAGAAAATAAGGTCCGCCTGACTGCGAAAATTGTGGAATACTTACATGTTCCAGCTGATCTTTCTTGAAGATCTGGTTTTTCTGCCTGATCATTTGGCGATAGGCGGCAGCAGAGCTAGCGGGTTTCTTACTTGGAGAAAGCTGCGACACTGCTTCTTCCACAAAAAAGGTCGGATGAGCGTCGGTAAGAAATAATAAAAAGAATAAATATATATTTTGCTACGGTCTCATCCGACCAGCTACCTTTAGTTTTTTCTGTGTAAGGCCGCAAGAGGCTAAGTAAAAAGGGTCCCTTAGCCACTCAAACCTAGGGAATTATCTCCCTTTTGTTCCCTCCCTCTTAGATTTTGGTGGAAACCTTAAATAAGCCAGGCGTCAAAATTTGATCCCAGCCTTCATCGGGAACAGGCGGGAGGATCGCCTTGTAGCCTAGATGGTATGGGTTTCTGTTCCAAGTATTATACTTTCGGTTCCGCCTGGTATCTGGCGAGAAGATGATATAAAAACGATTCCGCCAATCCTTCCATTTTAATTCCTTGCCTAGGGGTCTTCATGAACCGTTTGTGACAAGTTAGGGTGTACCACCCAGGGCCGGTTGCCTTAGGAGCCTTGCTAAAATAATGCATCGAAGCAAAGGCCTCGAAACCCGATTTCACCCCAAGCATCTTACAGGAGGCGACGTACCCAAGAATGTTCACCCAAGAATTAGGGGCGAGCTGCCAAACACCCAAGCAATATCCGTCCAGGATTTTCTCAATATCCTTGTCAAGGGGAAATCTCAAGCCCGCCTATATCGTTGCTTCGTAACAGCTGAAGCATTAATCTCCATAACTCTGACTGAACGACAAGACTACTGTATCCTCCAAGTTAGAGACATGAATTTCATATCCGACCCCCATGACATAGCTGTCCCGGAACTCCTCAAGCTTTTTTAACATATTTCTTTAAGTCCTAACAGAGATGTGGGTGAAATAAGGAGTGAATTCTTCTCGAACAGAGGAAGAATCTTTCCCTTTTCCTCTTTCAAGAGAGGCGGCCTCCTCCACAGAGTTAGAGGCAGACTCAGAGCTTTCTAGCTCTTCATGGGATACATGAAGCTCAGTTCTATCATTGTATCTGCCTGAAACAGCATCCGATTGGGATGACCCTTGTTCAGAGCCGGATGCACTATTATCAGACCCATCATCTGATTCTTTTATAATGGAGTCATCCGGCGTGCTAGGAGAGCCGGGTGAGTGATCAAAAACCTCATTTCTTGGCACCCTAATAGTGTCGTCATCTTCCTAATCATCTATAGGGGCTTTGGCCGTCCTTTTAGTTCTGACCATAGTCTCCTGCACGGACACATAGATGGTCGGATTCGGGATGTTTTCACAGGGGAGTCCAAGTGGGGGCAGGCGGCACTCCTAGTCCTAGATTTAGAGCTTTCTAGCTCTTCATAGGATACAGGGGGCTCAGTTCTATCATTGTATCCGCCTGAAACAACATCCGATTGGGATGACCTTTGATCAGAGTCGGATGCACTATTATCAGAACCATCATCTGACTCGTTTAGAATGGAGTCATCCGGCGTGCTAGGAGAGCCGGGTGGGTGATCAAAAACCTCATTTCTTGTCACCCTAATAGTGTCGTCGTCTTCCTCATCATCTATAGGGCCTTTGGCCGTCCTTTTAGTTCTGACCATAGTCTCCTGCACGGACACAAAGATGGTCGGATTTGGGATGTTTTCACAGGGGAGTCCAAGTGGGGGCAGGCGGCACTCCTAGTCCTAGATTCAACCATCTCTAGTGACCGGCAAACAGCTACCCTAGGTCGTACCGTGTGTGTTTGTGAAACCATTTTGAAAAACAAGAAATAACAAACACAGATGGAAAATTAAAGAACAAGAAAGAGATGGAGTAGGTACTGTTGGAACTTCTTGGGTCAACTGTAATACCGGCAGATCGAAATCAAGTGGCAATAAGAAAATTCTCTCAAAAGTCTAAGATTCTCTCTAGAAGAATTTTTCGTGAATATGCGAAAATGAGGGGGCCGGGGTGAAAACATATTTATAGAGGGGTAAATGTCTCAAGGGAAAACCTGACATTCACTCGAGAAGGTAAACAGTAAAAATGTTGTCCACCTATGCCGGCATGACACTTGTCATGTGGCGTGCCCCGTCACCCCAGTAAGGGGCAAATGATTAGGAGATTTTTACCCCCACCACCTGGTCGAATGAGAGTGTGACACGTGTCACTATCAAAGGGGTCCAAATGGACTCTCCTGGGCCTAACACCTGGCATACGGATATTCATCAAGGAATGACGGTTTTTACGGCCCAATTCCCAAGAAAGCCAAAAAGCGGCACAGCCCACTAAATCTTGGTCAGAATGACCTAGGTAATGGCATATTTACCAAGGAACCTATAAATAGGGAGATTTACCCTATTTAGGTGACACGTTCATTTATTAGACAAAATAAATTCTTTCGAAAACAGAGAAATAACCAGATGTCGGAATCCGAGAAGATCTATTTTTACTTTTTGCACTTTTACATCACTTCGAACACCTTCTAACTTGATCGTCGGAGGCGGATCTCTAAACGCCTGGAGCTTCCTTTTGTTTGCAGGTACAGTCGGTGGGAAAACAATCTTGGTGACGTAATTCTCTCGAGGGACACAAAACACTACAAGAAAACAAGCCATTTCCGACAGAAAAATTCTGTCAGAATCACCCTGAATTTCGTCGGAAAACGACCTTTTTTGACGGAATTTTTTTGTCGGAAGTGGTTTTCCGGCACCGGGATGTCCATCGAAAATTTCCGACGGAATACAAATCCGCAGGAAATTTCCGTCGGAAGCTGCTAAAAAAATTAAAAAAAAAAAAAAAAAAACCACAGCACCACCAGCCCCAACCACCCTAACCCACCCTGTCAAGCCACACTGACCACCCAGACCAGACCCCCCACCCCACCTACCCACACTGACCAAACCAAACTTCCCCACCCTAACCCTCACCACCTTAACCCACCTAATCCTTCTAACCCTAACCCACCTGCCCCACAACCGTACCCACCACCTTAACTCACCTAACCCTTCTAACCCTAACCCACCAGCCCCACCACTGTAAGCCACCTCGCCACCCACAATAATTCCCACCCCAACAAAATCCCAACCAAATCACCAAACGGATCTAAACCCTTAAAAAACAAAACAAAACAAAAACAAAAACAGATCTAAAATCAACACCACTACTGCCGAAAAATTAATAAAAAAATAAAAAAAAACAACTCAAAAACAGATCTAAAATTAACACCACAATTACAACCCAAAAATTAACAAAAAAAAACAAAAATAAGAGAAAGAAAATTAAAATCAAGAAAACATACCGTAACACCGAAATTGTGTGTTAATTTCTCATCAAATTTGGTATAATACGACCAAATTCGATCATGAAACCTCTAGATCTAGAGGTTCATGGTCGAATTTAACCTGAATAACCATGTGACGGTGGGTTTTTTTCATATTTCATCGAGTATTGCATAGTGGTGGTGGTGTTCTGCAGTGGTAGTGGTGGTGGTGGTGGTGTTGCGTAGTGGTGGTGGTATTTCATCGAGTTTTGTTGTTGGTGTGAGAAGGAGACGGAGAAGAGAGGAGAAGTGAGAAGGAGAAGAGAAGTGAGCGGAGGAGAGAGAAGGAAGGAGAAAAGAGAAGGAAAGAGGAGAGGAGTTCAGAGAGAAAGAGAAGAGGAAAGAGGAGAGGAGAAAGAGAGAGAAAAGAGAAATGAAAGGGGAGAACCGGATTTTTTTTATATATAATTAAATTCCGAAGGAATATTCCGTCGGAAATTGTCGACGGATTTTAATTCCGTCGGTTTTTTTACTTTTCGACGGAATATTCCGTCGGAAATCCCATATATTCCGATGGATTTTTATTCCGTCGGAAATTGTTGCCCGTCGGAATTTCTAGATTTTTCCGACGAAAATACGTGTCCGTCGGAAACAGTCCGTAGAAAATCGGCCTATTTCTAGTAGTGAAAAACCCCGAAACAAATCCCATTGCAAGTTTTTGATATCCTACAAGCTCATACTATCTTCTTGGATGAGGAGTCAACTTAATAGTGTGATCCCTCTCCTATTCTTTTCGATGGTTTTCTCCCAGTTGGATTTTATATGGCACATTTAGGGATAACTCATATAGGCTCGGACTCGATAAAGATGTAGATTGATGGTTTGTAGTTCAAAGACACAAGAAGAGCAAGAATGGGGGTCGTGCCTCCATAATGTAAATCCTGTAGATGATCGGATTATACGGGGGAGTAATTATGGATTCTACACATCGTCTTTACATGCGAAAGCTTTGGCTTGTTTGTATGGCTTACAATGGGCTTCAAATGCTAACATCTAATCGCCTATTATAATTACTGATTCTTATAATCTAGTTACTCATCTCCTAACGAGTGACAGATTAAAATTCTAGGGTCCACTTTTAACCAATGTAGTATTTACAAGGCAGGCAGGCAGCGTGTTCATCGGGCTTACCAAATTGTTTGGGAAGCCGCAGTGCATTTAATTTTATTTAATAGTAATGTGTCGTAGTAAGTTTTAATGTTGTTCACCTTTTCAAACTTTGTAAAAAAAAAACATTTATGTATGTTTAGTATGGTGTATTTAAAAGAAATGTCTAGCACAACAAAAGTTTTAAAATGTTATTTTTGTGGATATACATCATTTATCGAAATTTATTCTTGTGGATATATGTCATTTATCATTTATAAAAATTTATTCTTGTGGATGTACATCATTTATCATTTATCGAATTTTATACTAGATTTTTTTGTGTTTTCTACTATCTTT